TAATATGGTAACTTTTGTTTTATTTCCATTTTTTTAACTTTTGATTTTTATTAAAATCTCAAAGTTTTTGGTTTAATGCTTATTGTGTCTCTCTTATGATGGAAGAAGGCGTGAACCAGGTTTACAAACCCACACTCTTTCCCTTTCTTCCCTCACGCTTGTACCCAAAAAATAATAATAATAATAATAAAGGGCTTTGAATTTTAATTAGCAAGTGCCAAATATTAAAAACAAAACTTGGAAAACAGATGGGAAGGGTAACGACCATACATGGATTCCAATGGTTCATGGGGCAATGATGGCTCCACCAAATGTGATTCATATATTTTCACTAATTAGCAAGTTGAACTTATCCATAAAAGAAGAATACTGTCCATTTATTTAAGTCTTTATGTATTCTATCTTAAGAAAAAATACCAGCGTTACACGGTGTCATTTATGATTATTAAAAGATGTAATTTTTTTCAGTTGGTATTAAAGAATATTTTTAATGTTTTTGTGATATTAATTTTTTTTCTTATATTTGGAGTATATATTCACATAAGATAATCTGTTGGACGCAAGAAGAAAAATAAAGAGGCATAGCAATATGACTATTAGTATTGTGGGATGTAATTCCAATTGAATCGAGTTGATGGATTGTCAAGTTTGATTCAAAATTTTGAGGTTCAAAATTTGATTTGAGTTAGATTGAATTTTATTTTTCATGCTCTAATACAGTTCATAATTTAATTTTGCCATTCAAGTTTGGCTCAATAAACTCAATTAAGTTAGGTAAAATTATAAATATGTTAAACACTAATTTTGTTATTTACTTGTATATACATTAAATATATTAAAAATAAAAGTCTTATTAGACTCTCGAATTTGTCGACTCGAGTATTAAACTACTCAAACTAAGTTTGACTCACTATTTGAGTAGCTCGAGTTTGAGTTTAATTCGACAATAAATAAATCAAATCGAATAATTCACAAGTAACTTGATTTGTTTTGACTCTTATAACATTGTTTTTGAATCATAATTTGAAAGACTTGTACACATGTTTGTGAGAAAGAAAAAGAGTAAGAATGACATACCAAATCAAAATCAATTTTTGTTGGACTCAGTTTTAACTCAGTTTATATTCTTTAAAATTTGCTATATAACACAGTTTATATTCAATTTATTTTTGAAATTTGCTTTGTCTTGTTTAAATCACAACACAATAATAATGGTAAAAGAAATTTCGTTTTTTTTCCTTTTTTGGGACCTTATGAAAATACAAATCATTTTTAATTATCTTATTCACGTGTACAAATTTTTTTTTACTTGGGCAATTAAATCATTAAAATAAAATTTATTTACAAAATTCTAAATATTCAAAACATATATTTTTCTTATCAAACATAAAGAAAAAAATAATTGAAAGAGTATTTTTCTTTTAAAAAAAAAAAGTTAAAACATTAGCCTCAAAGCCAAATGCCAAAACGTTTTTTAATTGAAAATAAGCTCGAAAAGTAGTGAAGTAACCTATATCAGGAAAAATGTTTCGGATTGTTGATCTGAACCTTTTTAAGTTACAACCGTTGATTTGCTCATAAAAAAGCCATTTTTCCTTTTATTCTAAATTTGACATTTGTCAATGATTCTGATGCTTTACTTTGTACTTTTCATGGTTTTGTTTGGTTTAAAATATAGTACCGATTTTTAAATTTACAAAGATTTGATTCGTAATGGGTTTTTCTTGTATGGGTCTTTATGGCATGTTTGGTCATTATTTTTAGAAGGGAAATTTGATTATTAAGGATGGGTTTTCTTCATTGTTTTTGAACATTTGCTTTGATCAAATTTCCACAAAATTAAGGTTGTCTTGACATGGAATTTTGGCTTTGTTTTCGGTTCTGTCTTGTCTGAATTTTTTTGGTCAAAGAAATTTGTTTGGTTATAAACTTTTGTCACATGATTGGTGAGTGAAACTTTTGTCTAGTAATTTTGGTCGGTTTAAACTAGTATTCATTTGTAGTTTAAAAGATACGATTTTCAATAGAATCTTGTCTGACCGGCTTGTATTGAATAAGATCATAGAAAAGTCTTTGGCTGTTCTCGAAGGAAATGACATAGTTTTCCTCTGGCACTCTCTTTTTATAATTGCTTTATTTTGATTCTGTGTTTGCTGCTATCCATTTTGTGGAATTGAGCATTACTGATCATGTGAAATGGGCGTTGTAGGGTTATTTTCATCACAATCTGGTAAATTTTGAATTAGTTAGAAACTCATCTCTTTCAATCTTTTCTGTTTGGATTGCTGAAATTTGGTTTTAACATACTGGACATTGGGATAGGTCTAAATCGATTTTTGAGTTCTTCAAGATTGATCTACTGTTTCTTCTTACTCTAAGGACATTGGTTTCATTGCAATTACCTCTTTTTTTTTTTTTTTTTTTACATTTCCATGTTGATTGCAGTTGCAGAATGTTTCTGAAGGTGCAGTTGCCAATAGTTCCTGCTGACAGCTTGGATGCCAAAGGCTTGATGCTCCAAAAGGCTATAGTGGTCCGCCTTTTGGACGAATTTGCTCGGAAGAAGGCCACCAAGGATCTTGGATATTTCCTGGCTGTAACAACTCGGGGAGAGCATTGGGGAGGGCAGAGTTAGAGATAACACTGGGGATGTGCTTTTCCCTGTTGACTTCAGTGAAATCACCTTCAAGATGTTCAGAGGAGAGATTTTGGAAGGAGTTGTACACAAGGCACTAAAACATTGAGTTTTCTTGAAGTGTGGACCAATCCAAAACATATATCTTCATGAATGACAAGCACTCGAAGATTGAGAAGGATGTTGTCATCCGATTTATTGTGATCGGAACAAAGTGGATGGAAGCAGAGAGGGAATTTCAAGCATTGGTAAGTTTGGAAGGTGACTACTTAGGACCAGTTTCCTAAATATAACTTTTGTTTCATCTTTGTATGATTCGGAGATATAATTGTTACTGCTTTCTTAGGAAGTAGTTGACAGTAAGAGTGTTGGATGTTTAACTATTCTAGTTGTTGTAAATTCTATTGGACAAAGATGTTGAATTCTAGAGCTTACTTATGATGTTAGCTTTGTATAACTTGGTCCAGTTAAATCGGTTTTCGGTTTTTTAAGTTTTTCAAAACTGAATTGAAGTGACCAACTGAACAATTGCTCACCCCTAGTCAAATCTAGCTTTCCATTTCAGAAGGGTTTTTGTTTCAATGGATGGAGCAGTAGCCAAACTATTTTGAAGCAATGCAAGGATGAGAAAGAAGAAAAGGTGGGAAACCTAGAAAAGATGATACCATTATTAGATTGATTTGCACAAAATTACCTTTTGCTAGCACACACAGCTATTATATATGTAAGCTGTGAATATAAAGTAGTGAAGGTAAATATATTTATTTATTTAGAATCAAAATCAAATTGGTTTCACATTTCTACATTTGTTATAGAGAAGAATTAATGGAAGTAATTGCTATGCTTAGTTAATTGTTTATAGAATCCATTTTATTTCTCATGTTTTAGTACTTCTGCTTCTATGATCATACTTTGTTTCTCAATCAACTTCTTTCTATATTTAGTTAATTCAATTTGGATAGCAATCAATAAATAAAATTTTAGTAATTTTTCTAAAGAACATTAATATTTTCATCTTACAATAATAATAATTATAATAATACATAACCTTAAATCTGTCTAGATATGGATCTGATCCAATCTAATTTGATTAGAAAAAAAATTAACAATCTAAATTTGCTCAACTCAACTCGAAATTATTTAAACTTGAATTAATATGAATTTGAAATTATTCGAACTCAAATAACTCAAAATTGATTGGAAATTATTATTTAAAATATAATAATTTAAACTCAAAATAATCTAAATCCAATGGTCTTAATTTCAAATAATCTAGAGCATCATCTGAATAATATGTACCCACAACCATCCAAAATTTCTTTTACTCTAATAATTCAATATGAAGTAAAATGACACACAAAATTGCCACACTATATCTATAAATCTTTTCCAAAAATTTTGTACAACTAATTCAATATTTCAAAAAATGTCTATTCTGATGTGTACTAATTAATGTAGAGATAATTGGTACACTCCGAAAATTTGAGTAAATGTATTCTTCACCGATTGCATAAGATTTTATACAATTATATCAAAGCAAGATTGTTTATTGTATTATCTCCTCATTTTAAACACCGTAAAGAAGTTTGCAAAATATTTGAAAATCCCCCTAACAATGCAATCATCATTGAAAACATGCCTACAAGGCATCGAGGCAACTTCGTCTCCAACCAAGAACTCCTCCAAACAAATGGTGCATTGTTTCTTGGAACTCAAATCCTCAAGTCTTCTCCTTTTCTTCATGAGTACAAGACTATCTTATCAGTATCACCAAATTTTATTTTTTCCAAAATTTGAATAAAAGACTAACTAGCAGGGTTGAAATTCAATGTCATCAATGACTCATCAATCACATGAATTTTTCATATAAGCCTCTATCTTTCTATTATATCGAATTAAGTCCTTAAAAAATTATTTTTGTCTAATTAAATCTGAGTATAATTTTGTTTCATTAAGCTCTTTTTCTTACACGAAAAATGTAAAAAATAATATTATTTCTTGCCAAATCAACATATATGCTGTATTTCTCTTTATGATGCCAACATCTACATAGCATATATTTGAAAGTAAAAAAGCTCTTTAGATGCTAATGAGGCCTATTATATGAGTTATTCGTTACATATTATATATATGATAGTTCAATTTAAATTTTTATGTTTTGCAATGCGAAAATTGATTTAACAAAGACAATTATTACCATTGATATGGTAAAAATAATGAATTTTAGTGATTTTCATGTAAAATAAGACTTAATTAAATAAAAATAATGTTTTATGCTTTCAATTGGATAAAAAAAAAGATAAGAATTTATTTGAGAAATTTGAGAAAAGTGCAACATTTTAGCATTTTAGTAAAAGAAAGTACAAGTTAAAGGTATATATTTCAAAATCATCAGTCAAATCCGTTTCAATTATACTCAATATGACTACAATTAAATTTTGAATGATTTAACAAGCAATGAATGGTGAAAGGCTAGAAAGATGAAGTTGTGAAAGATAATGTGTATGTGTGTATAAGAATAATTGGCGAGTAAATAGTAAAATCAAAAGGTTATTGTGTGAAGTTGTGTTTATTGTAATTTGGTGTGCTCACCAACTGTATTCTTTGTTTGTTCAAACAAATAAAAAATTGATATTAGAATTGTTGTAGCATTTCAAAGCAAAAGTATTGTAGCAAATCGATACTATTGTAGAATATTACAATTGATACTGAAAGTCGAAATTCTTAGTCTGGCCATTAGTTACATTTCAAAAATAAAAAATTTTGAACATACAGATTGAGTGCTTAAACACAACTGTTCTATATCACAACCAAATTCACTACAAAATCTTTATTACTAGAGTGCTCAAACATTTCAATACAAAGAAGAGAAAAAGAAATAGATTGGAAGCAAATACACCTGCTTAGAATTATTATTCGAATTGTTAGCACCTTAATATTAGCCACTGCAGACTTCATGATCCCACAATTCTCCCAATTTTAAGATTGAAAAAGGATTGGGCAATGGAAGCGATTGATGGGTAAGGGCTTGAGCAACTTGTCGCATGGTTGGTCGGAGTTGGGGACTACCATTCAAGCATGCAAATGCTAGCTTTGTAGTAGAGGCAACATCTTTTGCAACTTGCCTTACCGGTGGTGAAAGGCGTTGGTCTATCACATCTTTAAGTAAAATCAGTTGGTTGTCATTTAGTATCGATGTTGATGTTGATGCCGGTGCCCATGGCAATGATGGCAAACATGAAATCAAATCACCAGGATACCTCCCCATAAGTATTTCCATTGTTAGCACCCCAAAACTATAAACATCACATTTCTCGTCCACTTTCATTGTATAAGCCAACTCTGCTTAAAGAAATATTTCTAATCAATATGCTCTATTAAGCAATAAATATATCTAATCAAATACACTATTATTTAAGAATATTAAGAAGATTATAAAATAATGTTGAAAAGAAATTGCGAATGTTTAGAAGATTACATAAAAATTGAAATTTAGAGGTTTAAATAAGATTTTATATTTAGTTCATCAGTTTGATATATTGAATATGGAAAAATTAAATGTTAAATTTCAAAGGTTAATTACACATTTGATACTTAAATTAGAGTAAAATTCTTTGATACTTAAATTTGAAAAGTTACAATCTTAATACTACTTGTACTTTGTTTTAACGGTTCAATTTGCACACAAAACTAACACTTTTAATTGAATGATGACATGTCTAAGGCATCTTAAAAAAAGAGATATTAATAAATACCTGGAGCTATGTACCCAAAAGTGCCAGCAAGTGAGGTCCAATTGGAAGAGTCGGGCTTTAAAAGCCTGGCTATGCCAAAATCTGAAACATGAGCCTCATAGTCCAAATCCAGAAGAACATTGTTGCTGGAAATGTCTCGATGAATTATAGGTGGCGAATGGTCATGATGCATATAAGACAAGGCATTGGCCACTCCTCCTTTTACAACATTTAGCCTCTTCTCCCAATCCAACTCCATTGCCTCGTCCTTGTTGCTTAACACCATTCTCAAACTTCCCCTTTCTACTAACTCATAAACCAAAAATGAGTTCTTTGGATGTGAACAAAAGCCATACAGCTTCACAATGTTACGATGCCTTATTTCTGATAAAGCATGAATCTCACTTTCAAAGGCTTTCAAGTTGTTGGAAATCATGCTATCTTCGGATTGGTGAAGTTTCTTCACAGCAACCACCTCACCAATGGGTAGCACAGCTTTATAAACAGCTCCATAGCCTCCTGAACCAATGCAATTATTGGAGCTGAAATCTTCAGTGGCTTCAATAATGTTCTCATAGAGTATTCTTCCATTATATCCCCATACTGTGAAAATATCTCCAAGTTGGGCCTGCATTGACTCAGATTTTCTGGTTCGTTTCTTTTGGCAAAAAATAAGGAAACTTCCAACCATGATAAAGAGCAAAAGAAGAAGACCAAAGAGTGGAAGCACAATGAAAATGATGACTTTGATGCTTTTTCGATGAAAGACAACACAAGGCATTAGTCCAGTGGCATTACCACATAGGCCCCTATTGTGTCTTAAGGAATCAAATGAAGCCTCATGGAATGCCTTAATGTTGGGAATAGGGCCTTCTAATTGATTATAAGAGATATTCACAACAGTCAAGCTTTGCAAATCATTGAAAGAAATTGGGATGGAACCATTGAGCATATTGTGAGAAAGATCCAATATTTCCAAAGAGTGTAATTCCCCAAGCTGTTGTGGTATCGCTCCAATAATCAAATTATGACTCAAATCTAGAATTTGAAGACCATATATGAAGCTTATTGAAAAAGGAATGCTTTCTCCAAGTTTATTCTTGCTCAAATTCAGGTCCAATAACTTTGAGCAGTCTCCAAGTTGATTAGGAATCGGTCCACTCAAATTGTTTGATGCCAAGTTAAGATGTTGTAGATTTGAAAGAACTCCAATCTCTGGTGGAATTTTGCCTGAAAGTTGATTACCACTTAGCAGAAGACGGAACATCAATATCAATGCTCCTAATTCCTTGGGAATCTCACCAACAAGATGATTTGAAGAAAGATCGAGTTCCTGTAACTGAGTCGCATGTTGCAACTCGAGTGGGATCTTTCCAGAAATGTTGTTATTGGAGATTTGTAGGCTTGTAAGATTATGACATTGCCCCCATTTTGGAGAAAGTTCACCATAAAATCTGTTGTTGCTTAATGAAATGTAATTCAAATTCGGATACACAGCAAAAGCTTCTGATATATTTCCTGTAAAGTTGTTTCCTTCAAGCCTAACTCTGTATAAACTTTTGCAAGTTTTCAAAGTTGGTGGGATATGACCCGTCAAATTGTTGTTGAAAGCCGTCAGCCCTACGAGTTGTCCACCCTTGCATAAATTTTTGGGTAATGGACCACTGAGATGGTTATCTCCTAATTGTAATGATTGCAAATGAGTAAGATTGCCGAGCGTTGAAGGAATTGGCCCTGATAAATGATTATAGTGAAGATATATCATCACAAGCTTCGACATGCTTCCAATGGAAGCTGGGATTGAACCAGAGAAATTATTTTGATTCAACGCAAAGTGCGTGAGAGACTTAAGCATCCCTATCTCTTGAGGTATTGACCCAGAAAACATATTTTGATAAAGGTGGAGAGTGGATAGACTGGTCAAGTTTCCAATGGAAGCAGGGATTGAACCAGAGAAATTATTTTGACCCAACTCAAAGTCAGTGAGAGATTTAAGCATCCCTATCTCTTGAGGTATCGATCCAGAAAACATATTTTGGTAGAGGTAGAGAAGAGATAAGTTGGTCAAGTTTCCTATGGAAGCAGGGATTGAACCAGAGAAATTATTCTGATTCAACGAAAATTCAGTGAGAGATATAAGCATCCCAATCTCTTTAGGTATTGACCCAAAAAACATATTTTGATGAAGGTAGAGAATGGATAAGCTGGTCAAGTTTCCTATAGAAGCAGGGATTGAACCAGAGAAATTATTTTGACTCAAATCAAAAACAGTGAGAGATTTAAACATCCCTATCTCTTGAGGCATCGATCCAAAAAACATGTTTTGATAGAGGTAGAGAACAGATAAGTAGGTCAAGTTTCCTATGGAAGCAGGGATAGAACCACGTAGATAGTTGTCAAAGAAATAAATCTCGGAAACTGAACTCAGCCTCCCCATCTCTAATGGAATGGAACCACTGATCTCATTACTTGCTAAGGAAATCAACTCAAGACCTTCCAATAAACAAATTTCGGATGGAATATTCCCCGAAAAGTTATTGTATGACAATTCAAGGAAGGTGAGCTTGGAAAGGTTCCCAATGTGCGAGGGAATGGGCCCATACAGTGAGTTGTTACGAAGGTTAAGCCTCATCAGGTTAGGGAAGAAAAGAAAGTTAAGACTATGAAGTGTACCTTTCAACCCATAATCTGGAAGGCTTAGATTGGTGATGCTTTCAGCCTTGTCGCAGGTAATTCCAACCCACCTGCAATGGCTGTCTCCAACCCACAAAGAAGAGAGCAAAGTTTGGGTGTTGTTGTCAAGGCTAGCTTTCCATTTTAGAAGAGTTTCCGCTTCTTTACCTCTTGTAAGTGCAGCAATGGAGGATGAAGAAGCAAAAACAGAGGAAGAGTGAAGCAGGACAAGTATGAGGAAGAGCACGACTTTGAATGGCATTAGGAAGGATGACATGATTTAGATAGTTCAAAAAGAGTCTCTTGTTAATTGTTATAAATTACATTGGCTAGCATGGTCAGGTATTTATGTATAAGAATATTTCAGTACTTTGCATAATTAAAATTCACAAGACAACCTTTATTACGTTTATTATTTCAGTTAGATGAAGACAGTTTTTTCTGTTCTTTGAACGATTCTAGCTTATGTGCACGTATTAAAATCAAATGATAATATTAACATGAAAATTAATGCCCTTTAAATCAATCAAAATTTTAAATTCTCTAATGAAACTTATAAGAACACATACCATTACGTCATAAATAAAATTTATGTAAAGATTATTAAGAATTAATATTTTAATTTAATAATTATCATGTATTTTTAAAAATTAATGTCTAATAATTAATGAATGGATTAATTATTTACAAAATTTAAAATATAAATCATTTAATAATTTGTAAATTAAAATTTTTATCATCATTTGTATTAAATAATAATTAAATTATTAAATGAAGATGCAATAGTTGTGTAGTCTATAAATTAAGAGTGAATTTAATATATAAGATAATAATTTTAAAATGTATAAAGTTTTATTTATTTAATTTGATTCAGATCAATCTTTTATTCAATATAGTCTTATCCCATTCTTTTGGCCTCCCATTTCTAATGTGCTTGTTATGCAAAATAAATTATAGGTTGAAGGATTCACAAGATTCGACAACATTATAATATAATTAGAGGTGTTGAACGAGTTAGACAGTTCATTTCATGATATGATTTGATATGATATTGTTTATATTTGGCACAATTCATTATTAAGTAGTTAGATTGAGCTAAATACGATTTATATGTGTATTATGCTAGACTAAAAGATTTCACGCTTATAGTTCGATATGATATAGTCCGTTAAAGGCCATTACCAGTACATGGCATGTAGGTTAACATAACACAATACACAAGTCCAATCCTGCCATGTTTACCCTTAATTATTTTAAATGGGCTCATAGGTTTTGAGTGTATTTATGTTAATTTTTTATATTGCAATGAAATTATAACTATTTTTAATATTTTGTTGGTAATTTATAAAATAAAACTATATTAAATAAATATATTTATTAAATATTTAATTATTAATAAGTAAATTATATTTAACTAATGATTAGAAAAATAAAATGATAAAAATAGATTAAGACTTCAAGTTAAAACAAATTCAATTAACAAAATAAATTATTATAGTATGAAAAGTATAAAACAAATACAAAAGACAAAACACACTATATAAGTATGTGTGTGCGTTTTACAATATCTTTTATATGTATGTTTTTGTGTTTTTTTTTTTTTAAATAATAGGATTACAATTTTAATAATTTTAATTGGTGGATTCTATTATCATTCTTTGTGAATGTAAACATTTTGTCAAATTACATAAATTATATGTCCTTTTTTATTTCATTTTACTTTTATTTGTCTCATGCATATTATTTTTAATAATAACTGATGAATTTTTTAAAAAATTATTAAAATTTTGAAAAAAATTAATAGATGTACTTGACCCATCTTTGTATGAAAAATAGGGCCATGTTTGGCACGATATGAACAATGCAGATTACAGGTCATGCGCCTTTCTGGATTATATCTTTAGCCTTCATAAGCTGTTCCATGAAAAATAATTTTGTTGATAAATAATTAAAAATTAATAAAAATAGTAATATATCAAATGATGTTTTCTTTAATTTTTTATTAATGTTGTAGTTATCTATTTTTAGTTAAAATAATAATATAATATAATACTAAATTGTATTTTAGTTTATAATATAATATTTAATTATTAATTTTTATATAATAATAAAATTTATAAAAAATACTTTTTAGTTCATAATATAATAATAATAATTCTATTTATTTATAAGCTTATTATATAATAAAAATTTTCATTATATTAAACTAAAAAATTATTTCAAAATTTATAAATTAAAAAATAAAAAAAAAAAAGCAAAATGTCAAATGTGTCAAAAGTATGCCACACCCCTTTCCCATCAATAAGTTTAAGTCCCACTAAAGCCAAGAAAACATAATCCCTAACCAAACAGCAAAGAACAGTGTAATTGCATTAAAAAGATGCTTAAACGCATTAAATAATGACATCAATTCATTCTAAATGAGACTTTATATGAAATTTTATGAGTAAAATTTGTGAAATTTTTTATTAAAAATATTAAATTAAAATTAAAATTTAAATTAATAAATTAATAAATTTTTATTGCATAAATTAATTTGAGCTTTTAAAATAAAATAAATAAAAGCGCAAATAAAAAAAATTGGAAGGCATTTGATTTAAAATAACTAACCTTAAATAAAGAGTTTTTTTGGTAATAAAATAAATTATTGTGTTATGTGGTATCAATAAAAACAACAATAGCAATTAGATACAAAAATATATGGTATGAACTCTATGACTTATAATTTTATAATAATATTGGTTAGAATTTTATAAATTATAACAATGATATGATTTGTAATTAATTTTATGACATATAAACTTATTACCAATTTCAACAAAGGCAGAAAAGCACATAAGTAGTTGTTGCTAATGGAACGCCAAAACAAAGTGCAACCTTACTATTACAGATTTATTGAGTATTGAGCTAGCAAAGCTCTAGGTAATTAATCCTAATACTATTCAATGGAATAAAAATCTGTTCTAACTTTGAATGAAAAATCTCTCTTTATCAGAGATTTAATATAAAAAATCATGTTAATTTAATCAATGGATTAAAAATTTAAGAAGAGAAAAGTAAAAACATTAAAAATATATAAATATGTTTTTTAATGTGTGTTTGATAAGAAAATTTGAAAAATAGATCAAAACTATATATTTTTTATTTATTATTTGATAAATATACTTTTTAATTTGTAAGCTAAATTGAGATATAACATGAAATGAAAAAGTTAGAATTGAATTTATTTTCATATAAGATTTAGAGTTTTGATTCTTATAATATTTTATTTAATATCTTGGAATCAAGTTATTTGATAATTAAAATGAAATTATAATTTTAAAATCCATACCAATTTTTAAAATATAAATAAATTAATTGAAAATTTTTAATCAGATTATTAATTTTAACATTGACTTATTAGTAGTGCCACCAACATGTTAAAAATGACAAATTTAAATGAACGTTTTAAAGTGAAATTTGAAAATTTCTTTACTTAAAGTAGTTTAATAAAAAAATTTAAAGAGTGCAAAAAAATAATAAGAATGTAAATAAAATTAAAAATATCATTTATAATTCAATTTTAATCAGTGCTTATTTAATGGTTAAATATCTATCTAAAAAATGTATCAAAATTTTTTCAGTTTTTTTAAATTTTACATACTTGATTTATAAAACAAAATCTTTCAATCTATTGATTTTTATTTTTATTTAATCATTTTTTATTTTATCATTTTGAAATAAATTTAAAATGATTTTAGATTTTCTTCGAATTTATTTCAACCTTTTTTTTTGTTGGGTTTATCATGTTATTTCATACTGGATCCAATTATATATTATTCAAATCAATTTATGCAAAATATATGACCATTTCACTTTCTATTAAACATCCACGTCAAGCAAAAAATGCAACTTTAAGTTGGCGGCTTTTTATGTTTAAATTAATTTCGTTGGATTTTTTTATAAAAAAAGTTATAGAAAAAATTGTAAATACTGATATTTAAAATTTAAATTTATTGTGATTATATGAATTAATTAAATTAAATTTTAATTTTTTTCATAAATTTTGATTATTGATATTTTTATTTTCTTTTATAAAATAAATAAAAGAAAATTTTAGTCTAAAGTACAAGTTAAAAAATTTCATGATAATTATTTTAAATGAAAATTATCTAATACATCAATTAAAATTTTAAACTCGATAAATGAGTTTATAAGATTACATTAGATAATAATTAAAAAAAAGATAAGTATCGTAGAGTAATTAATGAATTAAAAATTATCTAATATAAATTTTTAAAACTTTATAAACAAAATTAAAAAATTAACATGTATTTTATAATAATATATTTATAAAAATTAATAAATTTTTAAAAACTTTATGATCAATATATATGTATATAAAATAATAGTTCAATTATTAAATGAAGATACCAATGCTAAACCATAAATCAACAATCAAGTCAATATATAAAATAATAATTCTAAAATATGTGTAAATTTTATTCATTTAATTTGGTTAAAGCAAATTTTTTATCCAATATAGAGTCTTATCCAATTCTTTTGGCCAACCATTTCTAACATTTTTATGGTACCAATTAAATTATAATATGAAAGATACGCAAAAATCGTCAATATTATGGTGCATCAAAAAAAAAATTTACTGTTTATTTGGATGGCTAATGAGATTAGCTGTGTGAGATTGAAAATAATATTAATGATGAAATTAAATACTGTAACGGTAAGATTTGATATTATAACTATAGGTTAAAATCAATGATTACTATGTATTTAAATACAAAAGCAATGATAGTAGTGACATGAAAATAAAAAATGATTATTATGGATATTAATTTATTAATGAATTAAAAAATTATTTTAATACATATTTTAATTTTATTTAATATTTAAATATTCAAAAATTAATGATTTAAAGATATAACTAAAAAATAATAATGTGAGTAGAAATATAATATTATTTTTAATTTTATTAAAATTATTTTAATCTTAATAAAATTTTAAAGAATAGGTAAAATGGAATTGAAAGAATTTATGAGGACAAAAATGTCCAAAAGAGATTGCGGTGAGTCACTGCATCCTTTTTCACACTAATGGAGATTATTCCTCCAACTTATGCCATGTAGAATAAATTGCACAGTAATAAAGTTATCCAAATGGATAATCATAGTGAGATTATAGCAAAAGGTACTTGTTCGCACCAAAGCAAGGTGTAATCCAAACTAAGCCTTAAATGAATTAAAAGAAATTTTGTAAGAGCAACTTTAAAATCATACACATTTACATCTTAATTTCTAA